TCGGGATGATGAAGATGGCCTTCGGTGATGATTTCCCCCTCAGACAGGATGCCAGAAAAGGCCGCCAGATGGGATCTCTTCGAAACAGAGGCTTGCAGCGGCTGAGTCAAAGTTCTAGGTTTATTTCTGGAGGGTTTATCTATTTATAAGAATTTTCAGCATATAATCACGCGAAAAGGAGTTACGAGGGGCCCACAAGGCAACAACACACGGCCAACCCCCAGGGCGCGATAAGTTTCCTTGTCACCGCCTCGTGGGTCTTCTAGTCCTCCCACGAAGCTTCGGGGGTCTCTTATGTTCCAAAATAAGTCAAAAGGTTTCATCACGTTTGGACTTTGTTTGGTATGGATTTTCTGGAAAACCAAAAACAAGTAGAAAACAACAGCTGGCACTGGGCACTAGGTTAATATGTTAGTCCATGAAAATTATATAAAAGTCATACAAAAGTGCACCAAAACCATAGAAAATTATTGCTAACATGACATGAATACTTCATAAATTATAGATACGTTGGAGATGTATCAATTGCCACTGACATATACGCACTAACGCTGCACGGGATAATGGTTTATGGGGCCCTTGGCGTCGCACATTCTACCATAAGCTACCCAAATGTCACGGTTCATAGAGGCTGGCTGATTGTCGGGGGTGAGTGGCATGCCTGTTACAGAGGTGGGCTTGGTCCCCCGCCAGTCATGCGATGTGCAGGAGTGCTGAGGGTGATTGGCCCATGGCCCCTCCACGCTTAGGATGTAGACCGGCGGGTGAACTCTCTGGAGAGCCTAGGTAGGACTACGCCATGTCGATCATCCGAGACCGGGCATTACCCTGAAAAGTGTGTCCGGCCAGAGGTAATCGAGCGTATCGGGAAATGTGGTGCACCCCTGCAGGGAAGTAATCTATTCGAATAGTCGTGTCCACAGTAACAGGATGACTTGGAGTTGTATCCCGACCTCTTACAACTAAAACCGGATACTTGATAAAACACACCCAGATAACAGACGGATACCCCCGGAGATCTCTTTCTCACAGGGTGACGAGGAGAGGATCTCCGGGCAGGTTATTGCTATATGTATGTGCAAGCTGTAACCATATACACTCCTCTCTTCTACTTCTGAAAGATGTAGTCTTTGATAGGATGAGCTTCTCCCCCTTATTCTGGCATTCTATAGTTTAATCGACAAATATTACCTCATTCGTTTGATATGGATGAATATCTAGTATAGATCTGATGTAAGTGTTGTGAGTACTTTGGATGAGTACTTACCGTTGCTTTGCTACTCTTTTCGTTTGACCCGGTTGCTGCAATAGCTGGTAGCACCGCGGATGCAGGTTACCCCGATGGTGGTTACTACGTGGTGACCGATGGCGAGGAATAGTTCGGAGGTCACAGGAAGGAGGCCTTGCCTTTCGATCTAGTGTCGTTATTTTGCTCAGCCTTCTTAAGGCAAAACTTGCATAACTATGTCTGTACTCAGATAATATTTTCTTTTCATGACTGATGTATTTGGGTCCTCGTGGCTGTGACTTGTAATATAAAAATTTATATTCAAATATTTGTGTCGTTAAGTTGTTTAGTGATATTGAATTGATTCACCGTCCGTGATCGTGCATGATGCATGTATGATTAGTGCACGATTATAAATGGGGACCTCCCAAGGGCAACATAAACTCTTCTATTGTTAAGGAGGGGAAAATAATGAAGGCGGTTGAGGTAATTTTAGATTTGTACCTACGTCTATACTTATTTTTTTGCAATTGATTTCCATTTTCGTGAACCCTTTTTTCCTTTACTGGCCAGCAAGCACAAACTGATGGCAACGTCCGTAGAAGCCAAGAAGATCAGGGGGGAGGAAAGAAAACAAGTTGGAGATGCAAAAAGAAACAAGTAGAAAAAACAGAAAGGCTACTAAAGCCCATCTAAATGTTGTCAACGAAAAGAAGGCAAAGAAGTGTCCGCCTTTAATGTTTTCACTCTTTATATTTGAACGTGGTATTTCTCGGTACTCCACGACAGAGCCAAAGGGTGCGTTGAAGGGGAGCATGCCCCTAATAAGATTGAATTTTTTCTGCATGTGCCCTTGAACTTTATGTGTAAAATATCAAGCAATTTTGTACTTTGCCCCCTCCAAGGTTTAGTAACTTGTATTTGCCCCCCTCCCCAGTCATTCATGGCCCCGCCCTGGTGGTACTGATTCTTGTTGTGTGTTTGTGATCTCTCATACTTTCTGTAACCTGTCTAAATGACGATTAGCCGTGCTAATATTATATGTGACATATTGGCAAAATGATATCTTTGATGATCTTGTTGCCAGTGAGTTGTTTTGTTGGCCATATGATTTTCGTGTGTGATCCTACGATCTCATCGTGTACATGCTTTGGACCAAGTTTGTAATACATGTTGATTCTGACAAAACTACAAGTTTGCCAAGGACATCATCATTTCTCGTGGTAGTCTTAGGTCCAGACAATCAAATTTGAGCACCGTGCAATAGGCCATCCAAATCCAGTGAAGAAGAGCACTATGCACATTCGTATCAAATCATACATAGGCGATCTTTGTGGGCCGGTCAAAGCAG